TACATGATTTTATTTGGTTCGAAAACCATTTTTAGTCGCGATATCCTCTGTGAAACAACACAATATGTGCAATGATTTCCACACCCGAAGCGTTTGAAATTCATTTCATTTTTAAATCATTATCATTTTTTTTCGATTTCCACTCGACTCTTAATACACACGTTCACTATTTAGAAAATATTTTTTTTCCAAGTTTAATTTTGGCATTTCCATTTTTGCATCTCCATACCCTTTTTGTACATCAAAAGTATACATTATCGAACCAAAATGCTAACATTGGATGCAGCCCTATATTTCATTGCGTCAAAATCAATCGGAAATATAGTTTCGAAATCGACATAGCGAGAGAGAGAGAGAAGAAAGGAAGAGAGAAAGAGAGTGATAGATACTAAACCCGAAATCGAGTCGTCAAATTCGATTGAATTCCTCACTGTCAATAATGTGGCACACAATTTATTTACATTGGAACCAGGCCGATTACAAGTGACATGTATTACTGTGCGTTAAGTGAATGGCTCTAAATGCTTGTTGTGTGTTATTTGATAAATAAAAATCAATTTAAATGTTTTTATTATCGGCAATATGCAAATATTTGCCGATCAAGTGGAAACTAATGTGCTTAGTAGTTATCAATGTTGTTGATGTTATTTTGCCTCTCAGTCTCTCTCAGTATCTCTCTCTCTCTCTGTTTGTTTCATTCTGCCCAATTGCGCAACGTTTCATCGTGCCGATGGAAATGCGAAAGGGTGAGAAAATGTGTATCAATTGAACTTAACTATGAACAAGTAAAGGAAAACACAGAGAGAAAAAAAAAAATAGCAAAGCGGAAAATAATCTATTCGATCAGGAACAAAGAAGGGTAACTGTTGTTTGCCACTTATCACTCGTCATCTTTTGCCTCGAATCTCTTGTGCGTGTATGTTTCAATAAAAAAAAAGCAGAAGAATGTGATTTTATTGTAGTTTCGCAACAAAAATAGGAGGCAGCAATAGAAAGAGGAGAAAAAAAACCGTTTTACATTGAAGTTATTGCACTGTGTTGCCCATGTACGTCTATTTTGCATATGGTTCATGTAATGGAACGGTTTACCAAAAAGACTTATCTAGCGCCTCTTTCACGAACAACCGTTTTGCACCCCATTTTTTTCCTCCTCCTCTTTCTTCTCTTCGCTCTGCTCTCCTTTCATTTTTCTTGGCTTTATTTGCCATTCATCTTTTGAGTGCTGTGTCTTTGTACCGAAGAAGAGTCACAGAATAAGTATTCTGTTTTTCTATCAAATGCGCGCAATGATATTGAGCCCATTTCCGCAATTCAAACAGTTCAAGATGTTCGCTTTATTTTTTTATTTCGGTTTTCTTCTACAATGGTCATATTGGTTCCCACTGTTTGCTACTTTGCTGTCTCCCTCTATCTCCCATTTTCTCTATCTCAACTGGTGTGTGTATCTCTTTCTCTCTCTCTCTGTGTGTGGTAATTTGACGATATGTTACACTAAGCCAATGCAAAATGAAATGCTCAAACATCCACGAGCAGGGAAGTGGAAAAATAAACAGTTTTGTGTAGAAATAGCATTTACACGAATTTGCAACGAAAACAGGGACATGGATGCCGAAAATAGAAAGAAACGAGAAGGTGTTTAGATTGAAGGGTAAATTCGCATCACATGTGATGGGATTCTTTTTTCTTTAAACAATTCCTTTATATCTGTCGTGTGAATATTATTGTATCAATCGACGACAATTGAAATGTCAATAAAATAGAATACACACTCGGTTTTCAGCTGCATCCACCACTTGGCTCGTTGTCAAATAATGACAGATATGTTTATACTTCCTCATTCTTCGCATCAAGTTTGAAATGCTACTGTTTGTTGCACGAAAAATGTATGTCTCACTGTTGGACTGTGTTTATTGTGGAATACCAAATTTGGATTTGCCAAATGAATAAAAATTATGATATTTTAAATATGGCAGTGAATTTGGAAATGTGTGGGTGGGTTTCAAAAGGGCATTATAATTCATGACATCGTTCACAAACCGATCGAAACAAACGTAATAAAATGCAATTCAACAAACAATCAAACACGACAAATTAGATAGTTGAACATTGCTCATATTTCACCCTATCTCATTGATTTTTTTTTATTATCACATTTTCTTTTTATTGCTTTCAATTTTTTCACGTTCGACGATTTTCAATAAATTCAAGTCAGCATTTCATTTCATAAACAATAAAATTCAATCAAATCTTTGAATTCTTAACAACCTACTTACGTGTTGGAGGCTTATTTTGCCAGTTTTATGTCACATAAATATGGCAATAACTTGAAATTTGATTGACGCTTCATTCTTCTTCGGAATTTTCCTCTTTAAGTCAGTAGAAAAGCCGTCTGGTGCCGTCTCTTCTTAATTGATTGTTGCACTTTTCTCCGAAATATATTTTACATCGATTCTATTCGAAGACAATTCAATGCTGCAAAATGAAAGAAACCTATCAGCTCAATTGTTGATTTAGACGTAAGGTTTTTTTGGCAGATATTCAAATCTGGGAAAATGTGCCGAAATGAATTCGGATAGGGCTCACGGTTTTCATCACTCATAATCAGTACAACCGACCATCTGAGTCGATAGTTCTTGACGCGATTAAGCGATTTAGCTGGTTGATTTCCTTCGTTTTGACTTGAAAATGGCTGCACAAAAGATGAAAGAAATTTCATAAAAAATTTCGTTTGTTCTCGATTAAGTAGTTAAAATTACTAGTACGTCCAAAAGATTTCTTGTTCAAAACCAACTCTCTCGCGTTGTCACCGACTAAAATTAACAGGAAATAGAAAAATAGACAGCTTGGAAGTGGTCAATTCCCATTTGCATCTCGTTTCATGTTCGAATTTCAGCTAGTTTAGTTTTCAGCTTGCAATATGAAGTTTGGTGGAGACCAGATACCAGAATATTCACTTTGGCACGTCTGCCAATATTTGAGTATCCGTCTACTTTAGATAATTTTGTCTCCCATCAAATTTGAAGCCATCATGAATACATGCTGAATCCAGTGAGGTGGTTAAGATTTAATTTTCTCTTATATCCGTAAAATTTTATTCCTACACAATGAAATGAGTTTGCATTTTTGAATTTTTCAAATGTAATAAATCCAAAACATTAAAAATGTGACTTCAAAATGATGAAAAAAGGCAATTCGTTGGATTCATTTCATCACGTGGAAAAAGTTCATTTGCGGGAATATATGTTAAAGTGTTTCCATAGAATATCAAAGTCGAAAAATTATTATCATTTAGTTGTGATGCTTAACGATTTTTTGTGTCTATCATTGCAGTCTTTTTTATACCTTTGACTCTCTCTCTCTCTCTCTCTCTCTCTCTTCCCTTGTCTCTTTCCCATTTCTCAAGGCTGCATACAGAATAGTCAACATTGACTTCACTATGTTAAGCAATTTGTGCGGGTGTTCACTTTTTCCGGTGGACAAACGAGATGTTTGTGTTTTTATGTATTTATCCATTTGTAAGCATTGAAAACCGAACGAACAGGCGAAAAAAATCGCAGCAACAACAAGCGAACGATTTTGTGAAGTGGAGTCTGTGTCTTCATGACGTTATCTACTATGCGCTGCGCAGCAAACAGCATCGCAATTTTCTCGGAAATTGTGAAATTGTGTGTTTTATAGTGTTTTTCGTTGAGAGTTTCTTTTGTACTTGATGAGTTTTGTTTGTCTGCGCGATAGGCGTTGAATTGTTGTGAATGTCTTTGGCGCGCGCGAACGAAAGAAAGAGAGATATCGCCACCAAGCCAACCAATAACTGTATAAAAATCGGCAACTCTTCAGTACATTTGGACTTCTCTTTCTTTCGCTCTGTCTCATTTTGGCAACTGAAGACTTCATGATGTATGTTGCCAGGGCAAAATGATAACAGTATCAAAAAGTCAAAATTTTGTTGAAAGAACATTCGGTTCGTTCGTTTACTTGCTTCGGGCAAGAGATGATTGGGCAAGTATAACTTGGATCCTAGCCCACAAGCGCAGTGCAGACGAGGTGTGGTTTCGATAGGTCACAGCGTTTCATGCAAGAGATATAACACTGAGAAGAGCAGAAAAAATACATCAGCATTACGAACCATCATCCAACTTCCATGTACACATACTGGAGTGCTGGAGAGTGTAATAAAACAAAGCGAGAGAACATTTTTCATAATAATTGAGCAAATCGAAGTAAAAGTGGCGATGAAATAAAGCGAGATTATGTGCCACATGCGTCGTCATCGTCTCTGCTTCAGACGAAAGTACCGAGGAGAAGAAGTGAAGAACATAATGACCAAAAGTATTTTGTTGCTTTCGTCTCCACAAGTTCATTTACTTCAAATATTAACTTTCAAGCAGTTGACATTTTAAGATTTTTCAAATTACTTTTGATGCATGATTTTTATCGTGCGAAAATACTAATTGTGACTTTAATTTAAAACTTCATTCGAGATCCTATCGCAACGATTCAGTGGTTTTTTCAACTTGATTTCAAACACAAATTCTCAAACTGCTTCTCTCGAATTGAAGCTGAAAAACGAAGAAACACAAAAAGGGTGCACGCAAACGAGCAAACCAGCGCCACATACTGGTAACAACATTAAACATCGAAATAGCTTTTTCTCACAATTCAAGCTTTTAAAGTTTGTCGACCGTCGATTTACGCTCAATCCCATTGAAAATGTATTGATTTTGAATTTTCACTCACCTATCACGGAACCAGATGCTAATTGAAAACTTCTTGAATTTCCAAAAGGTCATACTTTATCCATTTATATTTGACTTTATCAACAAAAAAAAGTCATTACACATGGCCAGGCTTGGCATTCGTGACCAAACTGACGAAATTCAGAGAAAGAAAATAATATTTGTGCAGAAGTTATTTATTGAATAAACAGTTTCAGTGTTTTGAATAATTTGTTTGAACATTTTGGGGGAAAAAATACAAAAACAAAATTTGAATTCATTTGATATGCTCGTACATAAATGGAAAGGTAATAACTTGTATATTTCGTTGAAATTTTTTTTTAACAATAAATCAAAAAATTATGGTGAAGGGAATGGTAGTGTGCGTGTTCAGTAGGTCATTTCTGGTAAATTATCATAGTCGCTATGGTTATTTTGTTCGTTTTGTTCGTTTTGTTCGCCGGCATTCATTTCGTCGAGTATTTTTAACTGTTGCAAGCGTCGTTGTTTGTTTTGTCTTCTCTTGCGAAGACTGCATCCGAGACGAAGTGTTGAGAAATACACAATTTCAACAATACTAAGAATGGAAATTCCCATGAATAAACCCAAAATACCTCCACAATTGGCAATGAAATCGATCGTTGTGTAGACTTCAGCGCGACGACTTGAAAAGAATTGCTCGTCTTTGAACGATATAAAAACGCGAGTGTAACGTCTCTTTCGTTGTAATTTTCCGCCTTGTCCCATTGCCCGTTGATGATTGTATCGATCGAGTCGAGCCATTGAGATTTCGGCATCGTAGGAAACTGAACGGCAAGCGGGAAGACAATTGTAGCTAATGGCCGTTTTATTCAAAATCTGTTGCATCAGTGAGTTTTCCACCGTTTTGACGCATTGCAATTGGGACGGTTTCCGACAAATCGGGATGTTCGGCAGTCGAGGCATCGCAAATGTAACACATTTACATTTAGCTGTTGTTCGAAACGCTAAATTATCCAATTGGCAATTTCTTTGGGTGTATTTTTTAAAGAAGATTAGCTGCTTTTCAACGCCTCCAACAATGCATTTACGTTCTTTGTGATTGTAGTTTTCAATCAGTCGTTCGGTGGTGTTCATAATATTTGGTCGAACGGCCATAACGGTATCATGGTCCAACGGAATTCGATAATAGTATTTCTTCATTTGTGGCACTTCATCCGCTGAATGCAGTAGGATTTTGAAACTTTGTACCGGCCCACTGCACACGTAGTCGATATCAAACTCAAACAAACGTAAATCAACGCGAAGACCTTCGCTACCGCTTAACACACGATACGGATAAATATCGGATTCGGTCATATTCGGCACCTTTAAGCCATTCCAATAGCCCGATTTTTTATTGTGTCGCGTGACATGGTAGCTTTTGTCGAGCATATGTTCATTGTATATTTCGGATGCATTGTGATAGTTAAAAGCGAAGCAAATCCCTTCATCGGTTAAAACTTCATTGAAGATATCGGAGCAGTTTACATCTTGGCGGTGCCATGTACACCGAAACAATATTTCATTCAACGATGGCGCAACTTGTTTGGCATTCGTAAAAAATCGTGCATCGGAATCCGTTTCGTTAATTAGGCCGCTAAGTTTAATATATTCCTCAAAATGTGCTGGCATGTGCTGACATATCGGGCTCAATGAATGTATCATTTGTAAATCTTCCGATTTTATGGTCGCATTTTTGTAGCCATCCTTATTGAGTTTGTGCCACACATCGGTGAAATTCAATTTCGTTTGTTTCATTTTTATATCCGTACATATTGTTACTGTTGGGAAGGGGATTTCGTAAACTGGTGTCGATTCTTCACTAAATGTCACGATAACAGGAGTGTTTTGCCACTTCAACCACGTTTGATAAACAAGAATACAACACACAACTATTGAACATAATACCACAAAAAGCCACCACAGCCGCTCCGTGATGTGGCGCTTCTTTTCGCCCATATATCGGACACCGTGAATGGTACTAAATTCACTGTAATCCGAAAAGAGCTCCCAAAACGCATAAATAGGTCGTTCATATCGAGAATGGCGACGTTTCATTTTCATTTTCATTACACGACTCGCAAGACCAGCCAAACGTGAATTTCCCTGATGCGGCTGCGATGGCAATGGCACCTCTTTGTCAATCGATGACATTTCATTATCTTTTTCATTGTTCGTTTGTTCATCGGCGAATTTCGTTTTTTCTTTAGTTTTCATTTTTATTTTTATTTTTCGCTTTTAAGTAATTAATTTCGTTTTTATTACTAATTTGATTCTGATCGGAATTTGGTCTGGCTTTTGATTGATTTTATTTCATCGAGTTGATTTGTGTATCCTTCGGTAATTTCCGTTTTCTTCGAATTCTTTAATTTTAAGTTTTTTTCATTCACAATCACCCAAAAACTATCAAATGCATTCGAAACCACATGGCTGTCAACCACAAATGCTTCATATTAGACGAATTTCAACTTTTTCTCAAAAATCACTTTCAAATAAAGTTGATCGATTTCGAAATCGATGTTTGTGCCCGAAAATTATTCTACTGTTTATTCCCAGCAACGGTTAAAATGAACTGAATCGCTGTCGGACAATGTTCGTCTGAACTGTGCGATACGAATAAAGACTGACAAGTAGTGTAATGATAACGGTTTGCATTTTCTATTTAATTAAAACAAAAAAAGAATGCGTTTGCGCTCATGCCCACACGTATTTAACGCATAATCACCTAAAAATACAGGAAATATCATTACTTCACTCGTCGACAGCACTGTCATGATTTCATTTATTTTCTTCTCTGTTTTTTAATTTCTTTTTTCGGCTTTTGTATTCCCAAACGATGCCATTGTTGAGGTGCGCACATGCAACGCATGTCTATGGGGCTCATACACATTATATCAGCAGTTGGCGGTCTAAGGTGCGGTCATCGAGCCATATAAACTATTAGATTAATTACACCAACGAGTACATCGCGTTATCATCGCTGGTCCTTATTCAACAACTGATTTTGTGCGGGGGTGACATCAGTAGGTCACAGCTGAAACGAAAAAAAAGGACCGCACACACAAAATGACGAGCACCGTTGGTTTACATGATTAATTATTCCTGTGGCGAAACCATAAACCATTATGCGAAAACTGTTAACGTGAACAATGTGGATAATATATTCGCGGTAGAAAAGTAGTGACCTTGTGTCATGGCAGTCGGTTCAGTCAATAAAAAGATATACAACGAACATTTCTTTTTTATTTGCAAATCATTTTTATTGATGCATTCATTTAAATAGAATAAATTTTTTTCGGTTAAATACAGGAAGACGGTCAGATTCAAAGCTCAACAAATAAATATGAGTGTCATTTATTGTCAATTATTGTCAGTTACATCGGAAATTACCAGGAATAGTGACCATGGGCGCTCTCAAATGTGGCATGGGATACAGCGACGGCTGGTGAGTATGAGACAGCGGCTTTGGCAATAACTGGAGCAGCATGAGCATATGAGTGATCGTGAGCATATGAATGGTCATATGAATCGTAGCTCTTGACAATTGGAGCTGAGTAGACTGGGGTCTTGACGACGGTTGGAACGACTGGAGCCGAGTAGATTGGAGTTTTGACAATGGTTGGTGTCTTTACAACGGTTGGGTAGTAGTGTGGATCTTCGTGGACATAACGGGTATCGTATTTGCTGACGTATGAGTGTGGAGTGGCGATGGTTTTTCCGTGGTGTGAAACGGTTCCATGGGCAGCATAAGCTGATGGTGCATAGACTGATGGTGCGTAGGCAGTTGAAGCATAGGCCGATGGTGCATAAGCATGAGCGTGGTAGTTGTATGGCTCTGGTGCAATGACGGATTTAGTAATGACTGGGCTGGGTTGATAGAAGGTCTTGTGTACTGGTTCAGCGTATTCAATGGTTTTGGCCACTGGTGCTGCGTACTCGATCGTCTTTTGAATGGTTGGCGTGTAGTAAGCGCCTAAGTGGCCGGCATTAGCAGCAGCAGCCAAAATGCTGAACAAAACGATGAACTGAAAAAATTGATACGAAAACATTTGATTAGGGTTCGCCATCCAAACATTTTATATTTTGTTTTAGGATTATTTTAATTTCATTTCATTTCCTTTAACGATTTAAGCCACAAATAAAATGTTATTTTTAATTTTTTGTTTTTTTTCGGTTACTAATTAGAGTTCCGTTATTCCGTTAATGTATTTTCTTTTTATTACACCCGAGGGATGCGCCTATCTGTGTAATTTGTAGTTGTAATTTGATAGTTCGAACTCCCACCGCTTACGTGTACAATGCAAATCAAATGTATTTCAGTGTAGCGCTAGTAGCATGTAGTTTGCCTTAGACGCAGCTCTCGATTACACCTTCGATTCACTCTTCACAATTTTCAATTTTTAAATCAGTAGGTGAATAAAATCAATGCGTATCATTAGTTGAACACTCGCGATTCAGAAGTTTGAAATGTGTTATACTGCGAATCGAACTCAAACACGAAAAATTAAAAAAAAAAATGTTTCACAGATTCTTTTTTGTTTGTTTGTTAGATCCAAAACGATGCACAAAATGTTTAAACTTGATGGTGAATTTTCTTACCTTGAATGCCATTTTCCAAATTTTTTATTTGAAATGATTAAACTTGATCGTTGGAGAACGAATTAGTGAATGATACCGTTTCGATTGTGGCGAGTGCTTTATATACAAAATTTGATTTGCTTCCAAAGCATGCGATATTCCTTTGGGCCAGCGTTCGGCATGTACACTCCAATGGTCCAATATTGTCCTTCATCGCGTGTGGTGGTGTTGTTTGCTTCCACTTCCACTTCCAGTTCTATGATCATGTGTTGTTGTCGGTAGTTTTTTTTTGTTGTTGCTTATGTTTGTTTCTCATTCAAATGAGAAACGAAGAAAAAAAAAACATATTTACGCATCATGCACAACCAACGAGAGACAATATGGCAATTTACCGCCGCAAATCTCTTGTGTGTGCTTTAGATTACGAATATTAATCATATCAATCAGTAGACAAACATATCCATTTTTTCTGCGTTTGGTGTTCATAAGCGCAAGATTTCATGCCAAATTAAGTGTAATATCATGTCTCTTTATGGTTTTGATCTGTTTTTTTTTGTTCGTTTGTACTCAACGCAATTTTGGCTAGCACAATATTTGACAAGTAACATGAACTTGGATCACCGAAAACATACATACACACACACACACAACCTCACTCACACAACACCGCATGCATTAATTGCACATATGATTTCATTTAATAGATTACAATTATGAATATATGATTCACTTTATAGGTTTTCCGTGCTAAAGATCGGCCCGAAACAACAACAACAGCATCAAAGCTCGTTTCGTTTTGCTTATTGAATCACAACCGTTCGGATTAACACAGTTGGAAAGATACTGATCTCATTGACTTTCCCGAGGCGGTTTCAAAGAGGAGAAGAAAAAAACAAAGAGGCGAACGCTTTTATTTTTTTTAAATATCTTTGCATTTGTTTTTGCGTGTCGTGTGTATGTTTTTTTTCTCTTCTGTTGTCTGTTCAATGAATTATGTTCAGCAGAGAGTTCGTTATCTTGTAAAGGTGTTGAGATGTGGCCGACATATGCAAAATGCGATGAATGAAAACAATGTAACCTTGATTTGATTTTTGGATCATAGCTCGGGTTTTGTGGTTGACTAAGACAATGGGTGCCACCCAAGTTGTGTGTGGTCAACAGGTCGCGAGCAATCCGAATTGACATCACTAAAGGTTAACCGTTTACGGGTCAATACACCAGTGCAATGTAGCTGTCAGTGATCACACGCGTCCGTCATCGGCGTCGTCGACTTTGCAAATACCCAAATTGGCTTTACCATTTGCTCTGTACTCGAGATAAAAGTATCAAATGCGTCGGATTTGTAGATCACAATAAACATGTGTGGTGTGAGCTCCCAAGATTTTTCTTATTGTTTTTAAATTGGAATACATTAGCTTCGAAGGCTGTCAAGCCGAATCGTTTTTCATTCAGATCATGTGTGTGTGTGTGTGATATGAATCATATCAAAGTAAATGGTACTTGCTCACTGAATGATATTCCAATTTCCATTTCGTAGAATGGGCAAAATAACCCATTCACACCGAATTTAATGCAATCAGATTAATCTGTGATGTGGCAATCAAATATTAACACACCGTGTTACTTCCGAATTCTGTTCATAGACAACATATCGTGCACGCACGCACATTTCATTGAACTTAAACAACTGAGCGATGGATTACTTGGCGAGAAATTTTTCTTAGAATTGTTTACGAAAACAATTCGCTGACTAGAAAATGGTTGTAAATCGAATAGAATTGTTGATTATGACTCTTCAATTTATGGCAGATCCGGTCGCAAATGTTTTGAATTCACGATGATTTCCATCGCTAAAGTCAGTATCCGATGACAATCTGTTTTTCTCTCTCGATAATATAACATAGATTGATTTTCATTAGATCCGGTTGATTCAGAACAGTGTTTTTTCATGTTTTGATACTTTGTCAAATTTTAGCTTTGAAATAGAGTGCTAAAGTCAAAATCATACGAGAATTTGAGTTCTTTCACGTAGATTTCGAAAATCAATAGCTAAGACTAAACACATTTTTTTACGTTGTTGTTGAGGAGAAAAAAACAAAGTCGTTTCCTTGTTTGAAATGTTTCATTTCTCAAATTTCAAATTGCGAATTCCAAAGTTTCAAATCAAAATTGGGCAATGGAAATTACGTGACCATTATGCGCTGAGGCTGAGAAGATCGTTACTTTTCACGTTCGTTAATTTCGCTGAATTTGTACCAATTATTATATATATCAATGGCCTAGGCTCGATATCAGCAACGATGATAGTGGAATCGTTGGCAAATGGATATAATTAATGGATTGTGGATAAATTTTTGATTGGGCGGCATGTGAAATGAAATTTGCACTGATTGTTTTTTTTTTCTCGCTGTTGTTGATTCAAATCTAGCTGAGTGAAGGAAACGTAGGCCAAAGCGAATGAAAAAATATAATTTATATGTACGCAAAATTTATATATGGTGTTATACATGTCACCAAAATGTGACTCAATATTTGGAGCAATGGCTTTGGCAGTCACAGTTATAATTTATGATTGAAGAGCAGATTCGACTCTACCCTTCGAATGTCAAGCGTTTATCAGAAATAAACCACACAAAGTTGAGCATTATGTAATTGGTATAGCACAAGATATCGCTTTTATCGGTCTGACCTTCGGTAGCCGAAGCGCAGTAAATTAAATTGAACGAGAGAGAGAGAGAGAAACTTTCATTATTTAGCTTGTCTGGTTGCTAGATGAAAGATACATTCGAAGACAATTAGGCGTCTATACGCTACCAGATATTGTTTTACCGAAATTTGCCGGTCGATTTGTGATTTAATCAATTAAAATCATTTCCATTGAGCCAACATGGTTTGATCGAATATGAACACGCAAGTGTGTAAGCGTACACACTCGGCGCGTGCATTGTGATGCAGGCCGAATTAAAAGAAAGAAGAGAAAAAAAATTGAACCAATCTCACTCTCGTTGCGCTCAAGCCTAACGCTGTGGCCAAATGGCGTAAGGTAGAAGTGGTATGCGGTACCATTCATAATTTTAGTATATAAAGTGGTCAAGCCGACGAGATCAACATCATTCACTCAATCATTCTCTTACAAACAGTGTTCAACTCACACAGTTCAAGCAAAAGAAAATGGCATTTAAGGTGAAAAACCACACATTTCCAACATTGGATTTACATATTGGGAAATCGAATTCAATTAATCAAAGTGAAAATTTCTGATTGTTAATTTTTTTATTTACAGTTCATCGTTTTGTTCGGATTCTTGGCCGCCGCCAGTGCTGGAGATCTTACATCAGGATACGTTGGCTATGCACCAACTGTTGAAAAGACCTATCAATATGCCGAACCATTGAAGACCATTCAGTACGCCGAACCTTTGAAGACCATTCAATATGCTGCTGCTCCAGTTGCTAAGACAATCGAATACGCTGCACCAGTGACCAAAACCATCTTCCAACAAAGCCCAGTGTACGCCAAAACCGTCGTCGAACCAGAATATCACTCATACACTCCATCGGCATATGCTCCAACTGCCTATGCACCATCAGCCTATGCTGCCCATGGAACCGTTTCACACCACGGAAAGACCATCGCCACACCACACTCATACGTCAGCAAATACGATACCCGTTACGTCCACGAAGATCCACACTACTACCCAACCGCTACCGTTGTAAAGACACCAACCATTGTCAAAACTCCAATTTACTCGGCTCCAGTCGTTCCAACCGTCGTCAAGACCCCAGTCTACTCAGCTCCAATTGTCAAGAGCTACGATTCATATGACCATTCATATGCTCACGATCATTCATATGCTCACGATCACTCATATGCTCATGCTGCTCCAGTTATTGCCAAAGCCGCTGTCTCATACTCACCAGCCGTCGCTGTGTCCCATGCCACCTTCGAAAGCGCCCATGGTCACTATTCCTGGTAATTTTGATGAGTCCACTGCCGCATTACTCATATATTTATTAGTTGAACTTAAATAGGACCTATTTTCTTTGATATTAACACCGTTTGATGATTTAAACTTGTTAATAAAAGCCATTTCAATTATAATCATTGAGCATTTTTCTTCATCTATTTCAAAAATTGGTATGCAAATTACTTTATTATGAAGCGTTAGCCTTGATTAAACTTAAACCATTGCTTGCAGAGACCATATACACTATAGCATTACATTTTACGGACCTATGCATTTTCGATAGAAATGATGATTACGTAATTTTTGCAGTGACAATTTCACATTCGATAGGTGCAAAAGTATTGAATATAACCCAATACAGTTTGAGCCACCTACTCTCTTCATTTAGAGAAGGAGAAGCGAAGGAAAATAATCTGATTTCATTCATCAATTCGATCTAACGAATTTGACCAGTTTTAACTGCTTGTCAACGTCACATCAGATCAGATCAAATAAACACCGTTCATATTCCGTTGACAATGTCTATTTGTCCATTGAGAAATGAAACCATACACACACTTTGGCTATGCCGTGCGGTGCGTTTGTCATTTTGCATTCTATTTGTGAACTCAGGTCAAATTCGATAGCCTTGTTATTCATAAAGCCCAAAGTGCTATCGGATTGTTTCACGGTACAGTTTATGTGATCTTCTGTTTTGACATTGCTCCCATTCAGCGTCAGATAAATGGCATATGTCTCAACGTCGACAATGTTACTCATTGCAAATGAATGCTTTGGCGCACTCGTTGAAAGATGACCATAATTAATTAATTTATTCAATTCCAAGAAAAATTCAATGTAATAACGGACAACATTACCCCTGAATAGTGTTATTGTTTCAGCATTTCCGTCATCTTATTTCGTTGAAAGCCCTTGAAAATCGTTCAACATTCAATGTAAACCGACTTCAATTTGCTCAAGAAATCCAATTGTCATCTTATTGAATCTATCGCAAATCTTAATAAGAAAAATGAAGCAAATCAAACGCATTTTCAATTAATTCCATGTGAAATGCAATCGTTTTTATTTTATTCATATCATTACATCTATACCGACTCATGCATGATGAATTGATTGGAATTGTTTGTTACTAAGCGTATTTTTTGTTTGTTTATTGTATGACAAATTTAAAAGAAATGAAAGAGTTCATTGGTAGGAAAAAGGCGAGTGCTTCTATTGAAAGGAATGACTAGATCAATCGACACATTAACTAACCATGTGCATGTCATTTGCGCGCGTGCACGCACACATACACACGCAATCAATAACTCAGTTGAAAATTGCTATTTCAAAAAAATAAGCCAAATCGAAAGTGAATCGAAACAAATTTGTGTCATTTTGTGGTTTTTATTCGGAGAAGGTGTTTTTGCGTCGAACCTCAACACGATACAGCACCAATCCAAAATTGTGAACAATTGCGGAGAATCGTCTGAGTGCGGCGTTCAGTGAATATGGTTCGATTTCCTTGCGATTGTCATAGAAATCACACTTTTGATCAAGGTCAAAGACATCGGTTCGGATTTCGGTTAGATGACGCAAGAAAAAATTCGGAAATGCTTCCATCGATAAATGTGGATAAAACATTTTAATGCGTTGATATTTGACCATTGTATGATTGCTACGGAACAATGCTATGCTAAGGTCTTCGGTTAGACTCGATGGAATGGCCAAATAGAGTTTGTAATTTCGTTTGTCATGGTGCAAACGCATTTCATTGACATCTAACAATAGTTTGACTTTCTGTTGCAGTTCATCCATTGGCAACCCACCGTATTCATATAAGAAAAATTGCTTTTTTCGCGTATACTTTTGACCATTGTCCGGATTAATGAGTAAGGTCTTTGTGCTCGGTTGAAATAGGTATGCGGTTGGTATATTGTACAAATGACTAGTGATTAAAAACACATTCGGTGATAAATCGGGCCGGATGCTGAATGCATTCGGTGGCTGGAAGTATTGTGTCAGTTGAATGACACCACCTTGGTGAATGATTCCGAAAAAGGCAGCCAATACTATGTTCACCGCATACCAACATTTTAGCAAACGATCAGCACTCGCTTTCGTACACAGTAAATGGCGATAAATCACATGCCCGATGCGATTGTTCTCGTCGAATGGATTGGTGGCACAAAACCCGGTGATCAATTTTGGTGCGTGTAAAATGATCACGGGGAATGTGATGGGCAGTAAAAATCGAGGCTCTTGATGATTAATTAGCGATAAAATTGCGGCCGGCACAAAAATGGCCGCATTCATGAGGGCAACGACCGATTGAGCGCGAGGCAAATGCCGATAGTGATTTTGACTGAATCTGAGAGAGAGAGAGAGAAAAGAGAAAAAAGGACTATTATTTCATTTCTCGTTGTGTTTGATTCGAATTGCTGAATTTAAAATGAGAAACTTTGAATGAAAAAAAAAAAGTTTCCGAAAGAAATATCACAAACCTGAAAATCATATGGACAGCCGAAAATATGGCGATGACACCAAGAGCATTGAACAAAAGTGGAATGTTAACGAGAAGATGTAAGTATCTGGGATGAACGCCATGACCGGCTGTGTTGGCCGGATCGATGTTGTAACGAATGAAATTCAACGGTGTCACCACAAAATTGTTCATGCCAAATTCCAAATATTCAATGTCGGACAAGGTTAAAAAGCCATAATACATTGAATCGACGACAATGAATAAAATCACAACCGGAATACCACAGCCAAGCAAACTGAAAAAGCGATAGTTAAAATCTAAAAATGAAATGGTTTTCGTGCCCAAACCGCGAACCATCCAAAAGAAAACGATCGGTGTGCCGAAGAATAGAAAGGTTGGCCGATTAAATAACCCGATGACAAATATCGTTGACACAATGTAGCATTTGCTGACCGTGTGTGGCGGTAAATGTGATCGCATTTTATGGATTTTCACTCGTTCCACGGGCGTTTTGGACGCTTTGTATTTTTCATCAAGGAATTCACGTTGAAATATCACACTGTTTGTATGCACCATGCAATTGGCTACGACGTACAGCAGCAATGAGCACAGCGCCATTTCGATGCTATTCGAAAACGTTCTGGTGGCAAAGACAATTGTTACAAATGAACTGGCTAAGGCTAACAGTCGTATGTCATAACGTAGCCCATATTCGAGACAGGTTTCGTAGAGGCTCCAGTCATTCACGAATGAAATCAGACACATCACCAGCCGAGGCACAATGAACACCATATACGGAGTACGAATATCCCATCCGATAAAATAGCGCACATACATCGCCAGCAACCGATACAAATTCAATGGGATTTTATAGATGATGTATGGCACCACGATACTTCGAATCGGCATTGTATTGTTGAATTCCCATGTTCGTGTGTGCTCCAATTGGAATTCTTCACCTGGACACGGGGAAAAGAAACATTTTTAGAGTGATTATAAATGTTTTGATGATTTTTTTCCAATAGAATAGATATTTACCCGTTGGTACTTCGACCGACTGGAAAAATTCATCCGGATGAATGTAACCAAATTGCGGCAAAAATACCAAACACACTCGCAGCACCACCAAAAATATGTAGGTCTTGATGTATTTGCCCTTTGAATGGATTTGAATCGATTGAAAATACTTTTTCAATTTAATATCCATTTTCACCATTTTGTTCGCTTTTTTTCTCTTCTCATCAAATTCGGTGATACAATTCACATTTAGTTGGGTTGGATTTGTTTCTAACTCATTATACTATTTCATTTTTTTGTGCTTTGATTTTTAGTTTATAAGCGGTTTTCACGAAATGTCATTGAAAACACAACAAAACTGATTATTTTGGCACTTCACACCGAAATGACAAACAAATCATCGTCGTATGCGCTTAAGTATGACTTTTCCGGGTACTTTAGCAAGTTCCATGCTTTTGGACAACACGACTGTACGTGTGGATTCCGGTAGATGGCGCCAATTTGTTGGAGCTTTCGATGAAGTTCATTCGATTCGGTAATGTTTTTCGTCACATGTTATCTATGACTAGACGATAAAAATTGAACTTTCAAATACTTGACGATTGTGTTTGTGTGTTATTTTGAAATTTAGTTCACTTTTGATAATAAATGATCCATGCTTGTTATTTTGAAGAATTTACTATTTTTGAAATCGAAATTATTCCAAGTTTTTGTTTCTTTCTGCCTTCAAGATTTTTTCTCATTTTCTTCATTTTTCCTTCGTTGTTATCTTGATTTCCATTTCAGGCTCGAAACTAATTCAATGACTAGAACTGATTGCAATTGCAAATGTGTATTACGTTAATGAATCGAAACCCAATTACATTGATAGTAACAACAATGCGCCGCTTCATCACACAATACCGATAAGCCGAACAACAACATAACAACAAACGTTCACCTGAACAAACATAGCATAGCGGCCTCAGCATGTGGGAGCTTAGCGTAGCGTATGGCTCTCTGCGCGCGCTCTTCGTTCTCTCAACATGTGTGTTCACATACGGCCGTATTTTGGCTTTGGATTCACACTCATGGTCGAGTTCTTGTTGTGTTTGATCAGTCACAATCTGACGGTGAAGTGGTGCACCAGCCAGTGCGCACATCTCTCCCTCATTTGCTCGCAATTTGAAAAAAAATCACGATGCAAAATCCATAACATACGCGCTTCACACAAACAATTGCACAATTTTCAGTGATAAAACGATACTCGCGAATGGAATTCAAAATACATGGTGAAAATAGTTATAAAAAAGCGGAATTATTGTATTTAAATATCAAATTTCGTTGACTGTTTTTTTTGCTTCAAAATTCTAACCGGAAATTTGCCAGTTTGATTTTATAGAATAGATTTTTATAAAATCGCACAGATTTAACGGAACGACATAACGGGAAGTGTGAGTGTGACAAGAATTCAAGCAATTTTAGCATTCGTTTCGTTGAATTGTTATCAGTGTTTTGTGTTTTGTGGTCGAGTTCAAAATAGTTAATGGTGCATTACACACCAGAAGGGACGTTGAGGCCGACGAGAAAGGAAAAGAATTGTTCGCCAGTGAATATTCAAGTGAAATAAGTGAGATAACATCGATAGAAAAATGCGAAAGTAACGTAATTGATTTGAATCAAATATGTAACACTTCCGTCACCATCCGAATAAAAATTGAAAGGGATTTTATCACCATCGCCATCTGATTCATAAATATTTCTACAAAAAAAATTTCAATAATAAAAGAATTAGGTGAGTCGCCGTTTTAATTGAGTTTTGTTGGACTTTTTCTATGGCAGTTCATTTGCATTTTGCCTATTAATCATTGACAGCACGCTGGTTAAATGTGGTTCGAACTTCGAATGTCACTTTGTTTTTTTCGTATGTGCTCATTTGAATTGATAAGCATTCGGTCTGTCTGTCTGTCTGTATTGTGTTTCAGTTGATTTGTTTGCCAAACCGCATGTGTGTGGTGCTCTCAAGTGGCAGCGCACCGATCTTGTATAGGGGACGGTGGTTTAATGTTTGTATTTCGATTTATTGACAACTTTCCAATTGGTTGGACACAACTAATGTCGATGTTCGCTAAGTGAGTGCGGAGCATATGTGTGCGCGCGCGCCTGTGCTTGTGCATATAACATGCTGCCACCGCTTAAAACTTTCTTCGCAAATTTAGCGTTAGATTAATTATGTTACTTTCGTTATGAAGAAGAAGAAGAAGAAAAACAAAGTCAACGATACAAAATCGAAAAAAAACGACAAAAATATGCTGAATTGCAAACGAGAAGATTTGAGTGAAAAATGATTTTTTAATACACATATACGAGTGCGTCCGTCGGTCGGCTGGACTAAAAGTCGAAGCACGATTGATTGGACAACGACCAATCAACAGATAATCATCGTTGCAATCAATCCATTAAGATGGAATACGATGAAGCCTGAGACGGATAAAGAGCCAGAGAGAGGGATAGAGAGAGAGAGAGAAAGATTTAATGAAAAATTAAGCACATTCAAAAAATGTATCGATTGAAGCGGTGTTTGTTGATCCATGAATGTGGTGCCAATAAAATGGCGTAAATAAATGTTACAAAAATGAAAACCGAAATAATCATAATAATAAAGCACAACATTTCCAACACACGCACACACACTGCAATCATTTGATTTGTTTGCCATCGAGTCGATTGAGAGTGTTGCATTAACCAAGATAATAGACATCGATAATAATCGCGTTGAATCGAAATGGATCAGTCAATATTTTGTTTTATCTTGTTTTGTTCACGCGTGTTGCTTTGTCTTTTATCGACTCTTTTTTTGATCCATTCATCCTGTGTAATTTCATAATCGATTTTGAATTACACACACAGACACCATTCTTTGTGCGCCGCGGTACGATACCAAATTGAGTAAAATGGAAATGTGCAACATTCATTTGCACTTTCGTCACATACACACACACACACACACACACACACACACACACAAAAGCAAATGGTTGCGTGCATCGGATTTGCTGCCAAGGAAACAGTCAGCCGCACATAAAAATGAAAGAAATGTGCAATAAATGAGAAAGTTGTCGCCGAACTTGATCAAATGAGCGATTCGCTCGTTGCATGAAAATTTAAACGGTACGGACGATGCTACATTTGATCACTGTTCATCAACCTCGGAAAACAGCAAACAAGTTATATTACTACATTGGGGCATAACTCATTTTGCAATTGCAATGAATTTCAATGTTTGTTTCATGCAAATCTAATGTTTTGTCATTATGCGTGTGTGTGTGTGTGTGTGTGTGTGTGTACTGTATATGCTGTTGATCAATGCGAAACAAAAATATTACATCAAATTACCGAATTCATGCGATTTCTCCGATTTGCAGAAATTTCCACGCATTTTCAGCGTATTCAACCGTTTTCATCTTGTTGCTGTTGCGTCGTTTTATTTTTATCGAGTGTTGTTGTTGCTTCTTCTTCTTGTTTTTTCTTATTTAATTTTTCATGTTGATTGTGAAAACGGCGATTTCCTGTTACTTTTTAGTTGCGCATAACCAATCGACAATTTTCATGTGTGACTGATGGAGCAGCAGCAGCAGCAACAGCAGCACATGACCACATGGTTTTTCATATCTGGTGTGAGAAACTTGTCTTGCCCAGTTAACCTTTGCCACTGCTGTGTCGTATGCAATGGTTCTCGCGAATGCTTGAATCATTTGGCACGTCATTCAAATGTTCATCACACACCGGCCGCTTTGCGTCGCACCGCGCTCACCATATCAAAAGACGTCATGGATCGCAATTTAAAAATATTAAAATAATTATAATGCTTTTTGTACGTGGTTTTTATTGGCGCATCTTCTCTGCTCGCATCATATTTTGTGCAGCAGCAGCAACAACAAAAACAGCAACAAATCGACGAAATCGTTTTTAAAGCAGTCACTCAACCGTTATTCCAAACAAGATAATCGAAATGAAAGAAAAACAGTCATGCTGCACTTAGCTGCATGCAAATAGCATTTTATTACATTAACACATTGTAAAGTGATACAGAGACACAGAGGAAAAGAAACTAAAGTATCCCGAGCTCATTCCATCGCGGATTTGTGTCAAAGAACAAGCGTTTTGTGGTCGCCAATGTTTTTTTTCTTCTTTATTTTCTTCTTGTTCTTCTAATCGAGCTCATTAAATTACGCCAAAGAATAAAGCGGAATAGTAGCAGTCAGAATGAAAAAAAAATGGGTGATAACTGACGAGATGAACAATTGCATTTGTGCGATTAGTTGTTTTTATATACATATGCATACCTATACTATTTCCCTTTGTCTATTTCTATTTCGTAAGGAAAGTATGGTCTTGAGTGACATTTCCACGATGATTTTCCATATATATGTGGAAAAAAAACTGCAAGTATATCGAACACATAAACATCTCGTCGAACGGCAAATATCTGTCCTACATCTATTTTCTTTATTGAGAACCACATAGAAATAAATGTGTCGCGCGACCGACCGAATGAATGAACCAACCAACGAACGAACGAACGTCTCAACAACACATTCATAGTCGAAGAAGAGAAAGAACGCGCATGGATCTGAATGTGATAAGAGTCATATGTTTTGCTTTGATTGGATCGCATGTGCTCCGATTATCTTAAACGTTAATATAGGTTAAATATAATAATTTTCGATCGAAACGTCGATTAATCAATTGGCTTACTATTTTATTGGCCGTGTCGTTTGTGTGTCTGTGCGCGCGACTGTGTGCGTTTCTCTTTCGTTAACAGAATTAATTGTACGGCTTACAACAGTGTACAGTTACAAAAATGTGTGTTTTATGGCAGAGTCACACGTACACATACACACACAAACACACACACATACACACAGCACAACACAAGATGAAGGCTTTCGAGAAGAACAAATCAAGCACGAGTTATTATTTGGAATTGAAGACAAAAAATCGCTGGCTCACAAGAACGTTGAAAGAAGAAAAGCGGCAAATTGCAATGAGAAATCCAATGATAAAAGAAAAATAACCAATTCACAAACACATATACAACCAAACACATACGTTCGATAAACGATTCTTTGTTGTGAACGATTCTCTTATGCAGTAGCTGAAGAAAATGCCGCGCACGTTCAGAAGAAGAACGAAGACGACGACAACAACACAAACTAGCTAAACCTGTTTACTCTTTAAATGTTCAATAGCACCTTTAGCTGATGAAATGATTGCATCTCTCGATATGTAACACATAATTGGCAAAAGTCATTCTCAAGCACATTGAACCACTTCCAAATCGGTGCATCAGGGTTCGGTGCACGAATCTAGTCTAGATGTTCGTTGATCAATTTGTCAAGACGTTCAAATATATTTTCATCACTGTGCTTCGCAGCGTATCTTCATTTGGGTTTGATTCGAGATTAATTGCAAAATCATAATTAAAGCTGCATTTCTAGTTCGCTTTTTGCTATGCGCCATTCTATAAATCATCAATCAATCTATGATTAAAATGCGATGATACGTAAAAATAGATGTTAAAATTTAATATATGTTCCATGGATATATGGCTTCATTCTTGCAGTTTCAGAGCGGCGAATTTTCCAGAGCCTCGTCTATTTCTCAAATGTATTCATTCTATCATTTCATTTCGATCGATGTGATTAGTTAAAATCGTATAAGATTTAGGTTACGATTTATATGCAAATGTTTAAGCTTCTTTTCTCGTGAATATTACAAAGTTTTTACTTAATTCATTTGAAACAAAGACAAACCTTTCGGTTGACAAATGACATTTGACAAGTGTGTTTGATTCTCTTGTTATCGTCCAAAAAAAACGGCTTTCATCTCAATGGAACATTTGGAAATGCGTTCGGTTTTCGTTGTCTGTTTTTCTCAATTGAAAGCAAAGGTGTCCAAGCGATATGTTTTTGGCCATACAAAAAAGTGTATTCTTTCTATTTGCACCCATTGTTTTGAAGTAGCATGTGTTGTGATGTAAATTGTGGCCTATATTAAGACTGATTGTGTGTGCGTGCGCGCCTCTTCTCTCTCTCTCTCTTCCTCTTTCTCTCGCACGATCGGCGCACGTTTTCTGATAAAGCAAGTTCACCTACATTTATTGTGTTTGGTGAGTTTGTTTTTAAAATGGTGTTAACCAGTCCAGAATCGATCTGTGAGTTTACTTTCGGGACCGAGCATCGGAAACGTTCTTTCATTTTCTGTGTCTCGTTCTGTTTCTTGTTTACACGAACAATCGAACAACTGCAGCCGTACGTTCTAACCAGGCACCACACATTCTTGCAACGTGGTTGCCTGGTTTGGCGACATCGTTACGTTTTTATTCAATTTAATTGAGTACAGAAAAAATGGTTCTAGCGTTTGAAATGAATTACGTCCTTTGTTTTGACCAATATTGTGTGTCGAATTGGCGAACGCGTTTTGAAAGTGTTTTAAACTTTCATTCCATATATTTTTGTGCTGTGTCTATTTCTAAAATTAGCAGCTTACTCTGGTCGCTGAGATACAGATCATTAGAAATGCAACATTGGAAAAAAATTATACCATTCATTGATGAACAGATTTGTGTTAATCGTTTATTTATCGATTTCTTTTTTCCTTTCATTTTGCAGCGTAAGACTGATGCGACGTATTATGACGAGGAAGACAGTCGAAATGTGCAATAATCAAGAAATCCACTAAGAACAAGTCGGTTGCGGGAGAACGAATGAAAAACATGAAAAAACGCCGACTACTTGCAAACACCGAAACTTACTTCGGAAAATGCGAAACGAAACCACGTAACGAGTGAATTAGTTCAGAATATATCGCCTACGGCTGCATTTAAGTGCGAACAAAAAAAAAAAACAAACAAATCAATGATAACAACGGAACGCGAACAACAAAAATTGAGCAAAATTTTTTTGTACGTGAAGGAAAATAGAACGAATAAAAAGCATATAAATCAAAATCACAATGGGCAATTCCATGCCAACGACATATAATCCAAATGGTGCATTCAATGAATCTCGAACGTCAACACTCGGCGGTCGCAGCACAAAAAGCAAGAAAAGCGAATCAGCTGGACCTGAAAGTTCTCGCGTTCTTTTCCTTCTCTATCTGATTCATCGAACATGGAACATTATGGTGGATACCGTCGATTTGAAAAACAAAAGGCAAGTACGAAAATCTGGTTAAAAACAAATACGATTGGAACGAAATGTTTTTTTTTTTCATGAATCACGAGGAAGCGAGACACAGAGAGGAGAAAAACAAACAAATCATCTTATGAATGAAGTTTCAAAGACTTTCGAATAGCATTTTAACGATTCTCAATGGATTTTAGCGAGCGCATACTTTTTTTATGCTACCCAATTAAGGGCAATTTAATATGAAATTGCATTTTAGTAGAATGTAACACAATTTTTTTTTTGATTTTCATATCAACAGTTACATTTTTATAGATGTTTATCTATAATTTGCCAAAGAACTTGTAGCCATTTATTTACATTTTGAAGAAAACGCTAAAAAAAACTCACGAAAGCTTAATGATGGGAAACTGATGAAAGTGCACAAAGTGGCTTTTCGATTATGTGACAACATAAATGACTTCGATGCATGCACTGCAATCTCCTGTCTGTTGCAACGAATGTTTTTTTTTTTGTTTATATGTAATCGGCCAGTGATTTGAGTTTTTGTTCGGCACAATCGTTCGAATATTACAGCACCAGTCCATACCAATCAGTCCATCAATCATTGCTTCTGAATAGAAATGCAGCAACATTTTTGTTGAATCAATTATTGCTGATTGATTATGCGTAAGATAAACATGTATACTTGTTATAAAAACAAAAAACAAAGCATTCTATTTGTCATAAATTGGTTTTTCTTCTAACATAACCTTCGACGGCCGGATTTCAACCAAATACCAATCGTACCGCAAATGGAAAAAAAATGTCAACGGATTTGCATATTTGCATCGAATATTTTTCCCATCTCGATATCGATTGTGGCTGCATAGCAATCACATTCCAAATCGAAAAACATGCATAAAATAGGCAAACATGAACAGCATATAAATCATAATCAACACAGAATTCACACCGTACGCATTGTACTGACGAGCACTGAGCATGTGCTGCTGCTGTTGTTGTTGGTGTTTTAGTTTTTCGTTGATTTCAGCATATGGTTATGCTATTCGATTTTTAAGTGTAATTTTTCCGGTTTAATTAGCAATTATATTGAATGGGAGGCAGCTTATGCGTGAATCATTAAAATATATTATTACGATTCTCATGCTCATGCTCGCACGCGGCGGGGAGCTTCTTAGCATGTTATGCATTCGAATCGGCATTGAAACACACTTGAAGCCACACAGACACACACTCACCACCCGAAATGTGTATCTATGCAATTGTATAATGATCAAAATCATTCAAATTACAAGGTTTATTTGTGTGTTAGTGTGTTTATTTGTGGCATGTTTTTTTATGCAAACATTTTTTTTTGTATTAAAATGGACGAAAAATTACATACAAAAACAAAACGCACCCGCACACGCTTCGATAGCCACAAGCTGACCAAGATATTTGGACTGGATTATGATTATGCTGTTTCTTTTTTTCATTTCATTGCGATATGTTGCCAATGAAATGATTTTTTTTATTCATACAAGTTTACGACGAAACGTTGGCGATATTTTTTTTTCGACATTCGACACCATGCGAATCATCATCGGGTGCGAATTTTCTCTTGGAACCGAAGATTTGAAGTGTGAAAATGCTCTATCACTTCCATGGCGATTACACAAATCAACCGGCCGTAGCCGGACATTAAACAATCTTATCAGTTTTCATCTTCGCACCCGGGTTTTGTGAGAGAGCCATTTGGTGCGAACCAAAATTGATTTTGCGCACAAACAACATTAATTTTGTAATTTTTGTGTTTGGTCGCACAAAAATGTTGTTATTTTTTTTTCTTTAATGAATTCAAAGAATCGATTCAGTGCACCACTTTATTATAATAATAAAATCGGTGTAACAGTGTATGCGCGCGCGCGGCTTCTTTTCTTTCTTTCTTTCTTCACTTGATATTATGAATTTTCATGCGGAAAAGAGTGATTAGTGCTCTCTATCTATCGCGCACAAATCTCGCCATAATCGCGCGCGCGCACTCACACTGTGTGTATCATACAAATCTTGTGCATCAGACCAACCCCATACACGTGATTATGAATATATCGATAAATCTTTTATTATCTACAATTATTCAATGCACAACTTTTCGTTCGGCACACATTTCTGTTTCTCTTCTATGTATTTTTATTTGCGTTGCATTCATCTATGTACCGCGCGCACACTTGCGCTGTTCTTCTTTCTTCTTCTTCATTTTTATCTCTCGTAATGAAACACCACACTACGCAGAATCAATTACTTCGATTGAACCATTTCAAATTACATACACTCAGTAATTAATTTGAATTGTGCGCGCTCAGTAATTAAACGAGAGAAAAGCACGTGTTGAGTTGTATATGAAGAAAAATAAATAAATTCGGAAGCTGATTTCCAAACCATGATTCAAATTGCAATCATTTACAGTCAATTTCACATTGGCAATAAATCCATTCTGATGTTCATGATGATGATGGATCTCGACGGCTGCGCGCTCGATCTGATTGCATTCGATTTTATTTTATTGATGAATACTTTCCAATTGCATCATTGATTTGTTTTTTTCTCTGCATCTTCATTTGAGTCCAGTTATGATTGGAATAGACATTTTGATCAAATCATCAAATCCATAGGATCTAATAAAATTTTGGTTTCCATAGGTCAAGATCATCACGTAGTTCAGAAGATTCAGGTGCGCCGCGTAGTTTCTTCGAAGACGATGGATTCGGTATTGAAGGCGGTGCAAGTGTGTATGGATCACAGTATTCATTCTGCACATGTGTTCATTGCGACGGACAAAACAGCAAAACGAATCCGCTATTTGGACGTACTGACTTGAGACTTTCGTTTTGCGAGAGGTAAGAGCTTTGATCTTTTTCGTTCGTGAAACTTTCAAATCGGGCGCTTTAAAGCGCTTAAATGAATATCAACAGCTTTTTTTGTATGGAATAACGGAACTTTTATATGATCGCTGGCTTTTAGTAAGCTTAAATATTGGAATTGAGCATTTTTTTTTTGCCTGAGAGGTATGGCTACTGAGTATTTCAACTTAACCGTCAGAGTATTTTCCAACTTTTTGCACCGATAAGCTCATGAACAAATGAAGTGAAGCTTTTAATTTTGGGTTCGTCGCTTTGATTGAACGCTTTTGAATCAAACTGGTGTTAAATGAAGCTAATTTGCTTCAGCTTGAAACCTTCGTATAACTTGAAGCCGAAGCATATCGCGTAGCATGAAGAAAAGAAGAAAATTTCAAATTAAGCTCTTGTTATAATAAAATGCTTTTTTTTATTCGAAAAAAAAATCGATTAAAAGATGTATCTGGTAGACCTCATTATGATTGGACACTGTAGATAACAGTGTGCCGGCTGCAGTTTGATGTCAATTTACCGTTTGCCCAAGGCAAAGAACCGTTCAACGATATTTAGATGCTGAAAACACACACACAATATCAAAATATGCCCTATGTAATTATTTGAGCACTTATGATCTTCTCGAGCTCGAGTGTTGAGTGAAGATCGATGCATCCAAGTACATTTCAAACAATTTTCGTATATGGTCAAAGGCCACCAATACCGTTCAAATCAATTTCTTCATTTCTTCTCTTTTGTTTGTACACAATTGAAACGTTCAATAGGTTGCTCCGATGGCATAATGGCAATGGATATATTCGAATGAGAAGATGTCGACGAAAAGTTGCCAATTGAAATAAAAGAGCGTTTTATGTCAGGTATCAAATTTTCAAGAGTCTGGTAAAGTGGTGTGGATCAGCAGTGATCGGTACTTGTTTTGTATCCACAGTCGAAGCGAAAGAGAGACCGAGAGAGGGATAAAAAGAGAATTCACAGTGATCAATTGCATTGGCCGATGAGGCGACGAAGAACGTTAACATTGGTCGAACAACGGTGCTCACGATTTTTATTACAGTGATAAAAAGTGAGCACCGAAACATACAAGTGTTCCATCGGTTTGTGTGTTCGTCGTCGTCGTCGTCGTTGTCGCTGACGAAACAAACAAACAGACGAAAAATAAATGGAAATAAAAACATAATGTGCGATTAGTATGTGGCTCATCTGAGTGAGAGAGAGATTATATGCAAAGACATGCGTTCAGCTCGACAAACGGTGTGCATGCATGTGCGATTGTGAGAGAAGAAAAGAGGCGCGAATATGGAAGAGAGCAAGCGAAAAGCGTGCATCAACAGCATACACCGAGCACCGCGAAGCATACACACGCAGCAAATATAAATCCATTTAATGGTAGCCGCTGTTGCGGCTGTTCATTTTAAAATACACAACTCATAACTGTTGTCTGGTCTATGCCTTCATTCAGTACGTTTTGCGCGCTGATCCAATGAACACGTATACAAAACTCCGTCGGTGCACGGTTGTTTTCTACTCTTGAAGCTCGTCGTTACATTTTTCGTTCGTTTCTTCATGGTGTTTTATTTGGTTCTGAACCAACAGAACCTTTCGATCGATCGGTTCTTCGACTTGACTGGTGCAATTTTTGTTTTATTGTGCAAAGTGCATCGAGAACACATTTTGAACGCACGTTCAACGGCCGCGAAAAAAGAAGAATAGGTGTGATTGAATTTTATTCGTTTGCACACGAGAGAATTTGCATCGTGCGCATTGCTCTCCGCACTCGACTGGTAAAATATCGACAACAGAGTGGTGTATATCATTGCGCGCTCATCATTATTCTTACGTTGCAAATTATGTGCAGTACGTGATTATTGTGAAAATACGTGTGCGGGTTCTAGACTGGCTCTTTGATCAAATACCGACGACGATGATCGAACACAACACAGTACAATGAAATGTAAATCGTGAATCAAATGGGAATTTTTGTGAATTGAATCGAGAGAAAAAGAAAGAAAAACTATTGAAAAATAATTCGTTTGCGCTAACCGAATTCTAAGTATCAAAGAACGAAAGAAAAATGATTTGTTTGCAAACGGGAAAAAAAGCATGCAAATTGAGCTGAGAAACCTCCTCGTCGAAGTAGAAGAAGAATGAAAAAACACCATATATGATTGATTCTTATTAAACAAAACTGAATTGAATAAAAATTGAATTTCAATCGATCGAGTCGGACCTTTTCAGTGAACTTGAAAGTGTAAAGTTGATGAATTTAGAAGCGAATTGCGCAAAGAACGGAAGGAGGAGGATGAATACAAAAGAAAACAAAATGAATTGAAGAAAAAATTGATTCGTGATTGCAATTTGGAATTGAAAGAACTACTTGAATCGATATATCGTGGCAAAACTGATTTTAGATCGCCCTTCAACGCTAAACTGCCGTTTTTATTCTAAAACAATTTTTCGTGTTGCTCTTTTCATTTGTGTGTTTGTGTGAACTTTACGGTTATTTGGTAATCTTCATTAAGGTAAGTTTTGTGCACACGTTTTTTTTTCTCGACTCATTTTTATGAGCGCGCCCGCGTTGTTTGCATCACATTTTTGATTAGAATTGTTGATTTGCGGGTCTTTTCTCTTGCCATCATCGTACATTGGCCACGATATCAATCTCGTTCATTAGCATCACAATACAAGAGGCTTGTATGAAAATAAACGGTATCATCACATCGAATTTGTTATTTCTTTCTTCTGTCTGTTTGTTTTTTTTCATTTCTCCTGATATCGTAAAGAATTCTTTTCCGTAAAACAAACAACCAATCCAGAAAAGTGAGAAGAAAACGAACGGCAGTAGAAAAGAAGGTGCGCGCGCATACCAAATTTTTTGACTTGTGAATTTCTGTGATTTCGATCAAAATGTGTCTCGTTTTGTGAACCAAAGGCTTTTTGTTCGGCCATTTAAGCGGCATCGCATGTGTAACGCAAATGAGTTGTGCATGTACAACACCTCATTAATACAGCCCCAACGATGAAGATGTCATCACACGTTTAGCTCGACACTGTTTGTATTTAATAAAACCACTGTTTATGTCTCTTGTTTCTCCCGGCTTTGGAAGTGATTGTTGCTGAGTGATTTGCACACATGCCACATGAAAATTGAGTCAATTGAAATGACGTCGGCACGCAATCGCACAATAAATGTCATCATGCCACAGTTGGTGCTGGATGCAGGCATCGCGTGTAAATTGGTGCAAGGTTTTCGTGTTGATGTTTTCGTGTGCGCACAAACCGAAAATTTATCTCATTGAGACTGATGCTGTTGCTGTTGCTGCATCATTAACCCCTAAATATTGTTAACTTTCATGAACAACAATCGATCATCAGGTGCAATTCTTTTTGTTTCTATGGTTTTTTTTTATTCAATTTCTCTTCTTTCTTTCTCTCATTTCGATGATTTACAACAGCAGAATTGGTTCACTTGACTTTCGTGCACACTCACATGCCAATTTTCGCATGTGCGAATATTTGTTGTTGATTAACTTTTCATCGTGCTGATGCGATTAAACGTACATATGCGTCTGCTCATAAAATCACACACACACAGCGATGAACAGATTCGAATGAAGCATTAAGTTGATGTTGTTTTGATGATGATTTGTCATTGTTTCCGCATCACATATACAAATTTTCATTGTTCATTCGGGCGCTCAATGCGAATCATTTTTCTGCCTTACTTTAATCTATGGCTTAAGTTTATCGCGCGCGAAAAAAAAAAAACATAACCCAGACATAGAATGTTTCAAAGTCACATCAAGAAAGCAACATACAGAAATAGAAAATCAAAAAAAGAGAAATGAAAGAGGAGGGAAAAAAAACACCAAGATCTCGATTGTGCCAAAATAAAAGAGTAATAAAGAAAGAATCTCATCCAATTCTCTAATTTGTATTTACTAACAACTTCATTATGATAAGTTCCCGAAAGCTGTATTCGACCTGCGAGATGAATTGGCTTGGAGAACAAAACAAAAAGCCAATGAGGAAGAAGAAGAGACAGGAAAGAAAACGGTAGTGTGTGATAAATTAATTTGAAAATTGGGCAGTCAACAATAACAATAGTCGAAAAATGGCTTGGCGAAATGGCTTGGCTTGGCTTGGAACACAGTGGAAAAAAAGAACCGTCAAATATTTTATTAAATGTGGTTTTAAAAAGTGGAAAATGAAAAATGTGAAAGAAAACCACTAAACAAAACCACACACTCACCGTAGCATAGCACCGCACCGTACAATTGGCTTAATCATTTTTCTAAGTTCGATATATCGGTCGGTGTCTGTTGGCTGTGTGTACATTACAATGTGGCTGTGATTCTTTTCGATTCTTGTTTCGATGGTTGGCTCCCATGTGCCTATGTTTGTGCAAGCGCCTTTTTCTAAGCACACACCAAATATTCTCATTGTTACACACCGTGCATAGGTACAACAGGCACACATACAAAACGTGTGTATTTGTATTATGTGATCCGCACATATGTTTCGTTTTATATACACTGCCATCGACACACAATAACTCGAATAAGTTACGGTAAAATGTAGCGCGATTTTTTTTTCCTCTCTTCTTAATTCGATGCTGTGTGCTGTTTTTTTTTCCGTCGATACACATATTGCTGAAATTGAGTCTCGAGAGCACATTGCGTTGAATGGGTGATAGATAACCGTTTTTTTTTTTCGTTCGTTCGTTTGTTCGTTCATTCGTTCGGCTTTTTAATCTGAATCACACTACTACGCGCTCACGCGCGCATTCACTCACGTATGCGGAATTCAAGTTTTTTGCTCGTATTTGTATTGGGCCAAGATTTTGTAGCCGTTGCTCGAGTGTGTATGTGGAGTTTTTTTTTTGCTTTATTTTCATTTTTAAATACACCATTTCTCAACCAATCGATCACTCTCTGGAGCCGGTGTGTTTAGTTTTTTTTTTATTCAGCTACCGAGATGATATTGGT